TCATATAGATGACTACAATATAATAACTGGTCACCGTTGATCGGTAATGGAGTATTTAGTCAAACTATGGATTATTACTAACAGATATTCATATCTCACAACTTTATACCCTGTTTTGAAATTTACTAAGCATTACTAATATAGCTTTTAAAATATTATGCTGCATAACATAAATTCTAGATAACTACACTCGAAGCTCTAGTAATTTGATTTAAACTGTTCAAAAATTATCAGTATGGAGGTTTGTGGAGATAACAGAATTTTTCGTTTTTGAATCAGAGTGAACTTAGCTAGATCACGATCAAAAACGTGGAAGTATAGGACAGCCATTTCATTGTAGTGTAATACTATTTAGCAGTGTGCATTCACAATCTTGTATACGGGAATCAGACGCAGCACATTCGGTATCAGCACAAACCCTTAACCTCTAGATCACTAAGCCGGTATTCAGCAGATTTAATGTCTAAATTCCGTCACTTCAGGAAATTTCGCAACTCTGTCTGAGCTGTCCATTGTATTTGGTGCTTCTCCTGAGATTTGAAGATGTTAATGATCCAGTAGAAGTGAGAGTGAGCAGCCTTATCCGACTACAGTCCTCATTTGTAATGCATCTGTCCTCCATGTGCGACTTTGCAGTGCAGTCCGTCGTATGAATTCCGTATGTTGTCGACGATTTTCCCAGGTACTCACTCTATAGTGTCGAAGAAGTTTCCATACTGTTCTCTTATCTGCGCTGTCAAATGCTTTCTTCTAATCAAGTTAGTTGATATACAGTGACGAATGCCATTCAATTGATGGTTCAACAATGATCGGTAGTGTTGGTCTGTGCACCACCGATCTTTACGGAATGCAGCCTATTGATCTCGAAGTTGGGCGTTTACTGCGTCTTTCATTTGGTTCATCAATACTCTGTTGGAAACTGTTCCTGGTATTGACAATAGTGGGATGTCTCTGTGGTTCTCACATTTTCTCAGATCTCCTTTCTTTGGCATCTTGATGAGTCATCCATCTTTCCAGTCCATCGGCACTTGCTCTTCCTTCCAAATCTTCCTGAATAGAAAGTGCAACATGCTTGCAGTACTTCCATGTCTGACTTTAGTGCTTCAGCTGGTGTATTGTCAGGTCCTGCCACTTTCCCACTGTTGATTTGTCTGATGGCCATCCTGATTTTTTTCGTCGTTTGTAGAGTGACATCTATAGGAGGGTCTGTGTGTGTCAGTCCAATGTTCAGTGGATTCAATGGAGCTGGTCAATTCAAGAGTTCATTAAGTTATTCTACCCATCTGTTTTCCTGTTCTTCAATTTCAGTGATTGTCTTGCCTTCTTTCTCTTTGATCGGTCTCTCCGGTTTACTATATTTCCCTGCTAGTTTCTTCGTTGTGTTATGTAACTGTCTCATATTTCCTTGTGCTTCTTTGGACAGCATTAGAGCAATTCCATGAGTGTGAGGAGCATTTTCCTCTTTGTGACCAAAGTCCAGCAACATCCCTACCATCTCCAGCCTTTTCTGTCCAGCTTGGGTCCAATGAGTTTCGCTGATTTCAAATATTGCCAATTTGTATCTTCTTATTTCTGTTGCCATTTGACTGATCCTCCCACATTGTCTGGACATTCCATGTACCTATAAAAGTTGTTGCTCTGGTTGGAAAGGACATCAACCTTAATTCTTCCTTGACCTCGGAGAGCATTTATATATTCGCCTCTCATTTTAGTGTATTATTCTGACAGAATATAGATGGAATTAAACAGGTAAATATTTCTGCATCCTATATTTTTGCATCTTTCCTGATTTACATTTGTACTTTACTAGCTTCAAGACGAAGGTAAGTCTTGTTGATGACTGAGTACCAAATAATATGTAACATTGTTAAACAATTTCCTGGACACTATTGTAAATAGATCAACTCTTACAATAATTCCTAAATGGTCAGCACATTAGTATGAAACCTACTGGAATTTTACTGATACTTACATGCGTCATACTTAACAGTTATTTAGAATCTTTTTGAAAATATTCTGCGTATCTAAAATTGCTTTTCAATTTGATGACATATACGCCATTACTGAATAAGTTAAAATATTCAGGACTTTTTAAAGACCAGATAGATTGTGGCTAATATTAGCACACAGGGTAGGAATCTAGTCCCATTTGGGATTCGTCAGTTGGATATATCTGGATCTTAGTGCTTATGTTCATGTCAGAAACCGAAACTAGTATCTTTCGTCCCAAACGCTCACCGAGTTATCCACTGACCTAGACAATAGCTCCAACAGATGTATTATTTACATTGTCAGGAGGCATGATTTGGTTCACCCCGTTGTTAGTAATTCACTGTTGGTCACATTACATTTCTTATATTGAAATCTTCTGACATAATGGCTATATCAAAGCAATCCACTCATGTTGCGCCTATGTCAACTGAAGCAGATCAAAATTTAGTCGTGAATATCAACGATGGGATAATTTGAATCTTTTTCTGTTATCAAAAAATACAGTTCAAGATGACCCAGTATTTTAGAATTTTTATTACCCCATCTCTTTACCCAACCAGAAAACAATAATTAATCTAAAAGAAAATAACAAAGTATGTTGAATTCAAAAAAAACTGAAAAAAAAATAAAGATTTGGAAGATAGGAAAAACAAACAAGTGTATACTAAGAAAAGAAAACGCTGAAGAGATAATCAAGATTTCTTTTAGTGTCTATAAAAAAATAAAGAAACAAACCGCACACACACACACAACAAGATGCCCAATCTTTATCAACTTGTTACTATTTTTATCCAACATATAACCGTATTTGGGATAATTCAACAAAGGAGAGGTGATACTTTCATGGAAACAGGAATATTAAAAAGTTATGAAAGAAAAGCAAATCATAGAAATGATTACAAGACGTAATAGTAGTAATGATAAACAAGGGAACAAAAATTGTCCAGCAAATCAATATCCATTCATGAAGGGTCAAAAAATGTATTTACTATAGTCAGTATTATTATCAAATAAATATTTATTTCACTTATGCTGTGTTTTTTTTCAATTTCACCGGCATTATCGACAGTAATAGTAATAATAATAATAATAGTAATGATAAGAAAAGGAAGAGGGGGAGATAGAATAGTGAAATTATGAGACTGAATCAACTATGTATATAGAATGATTTAAACAACAACAACAACAAAATCGTAACAACCATATGAGAACTTTGAGAAAGCAAGTGTAAAATAATAATAATAATAATAATAATAATAATAATAACAAAGTAACCGTCGTTTTGGGAAACGATTTTGTCATGTGATGAATACAAAGAACTATTTCAACACTATTTCTTCTTTAATCAATTTTCAAAGATAAACGAACTATTTGAATCAACTGTTTTAGAAAAAAAGCTGATAAATGAAAGAGAATGATAGAAAATAATCGAAAACATGGAACAAATGGAACGTTAGTCAATTAGATAAGCCACAAAAAAAAATTTTTTTTTTAAAAATTGTCATTCTTTATGAGGTAGAAATAACAATTCAATTATTGATTTATTAGTAGTATATATTCAATGAGTAGTAATGATAATAATAATTATTATTATTATTATGTTTAATGTGTTCAATTTACTCGGGGCGCATTCATTTAAACAAAAGATTATGTATATATATATATTAGTTAATTAACCAATCATGGTAATAATAATAATAATAGTACTTATAAACAATTGAAAAGTAAATTGAAGATAAAGTATTAAAGAAAAGAAAAATAAAATAAGCAAAACAAAACAAAAAAAAATTTTTCTTTTGTTTTGTTCTAGAAACATTGGAATTATGTTTGTGAGATTTTGACAAGATTGTTGAATAAATCTTCAACTGAATTACCTAATTGATTAGATACAAAGAAAATAATTGATTCTTTAGTTATATTTAATAGTTTATTAATTAATGTATGTATCATGGATGGTGTATTAATAGAGATAACAGTGCTACTGCTGCTGTTGCTGTTGCTGACATTGTTGCTACTATTGTTATTATTACTACTGCTATTGTTACCAATATTGCTACAGTTGAATACATCAGTACATGTGGTAGTTGTAGTAGTATTCAAGTTATCTGAAAGATTGATACTCATAGTCTGACAACTCTGTGATGATGAGTTCGGATCGGAATTAGATTTTTCACTGGTTTCTTCTAAGGTGACCATATATTCCAGAAGTATTTGTTCCAGCCAATGAATATCATTGATAGGCTGTGTTTTTTTATTATTGCCTTGACAATAAAACAAACATAACAGAAACGTTTAAAGTAAGAATAACATATAATTATATTAGGAAATGAAGTATAAACTTTCCCAAGAGTCACCTTGGTGACTTTGTATGATCAATATTACTAATCTAAAAAATCAATTATGAGTTGTTAACGTATCATTTGTAAAATGCTCAAATCCTTCCTATTACTATTTTAATTTGAGAATACTCAGTTTCCTAAACGGTGAGCTGGTTTTTCATGTCTGAAACTTAAAACTGACTAGAATTCTAACACTGATGCAACAAAATTGCTTAAGTGCCACTGTAACGAACAAGCGATTAATAAATGTGTATTTTTTGAGTGCGGGATCGTGGATGCGCACTGCTTAAGAGTCACATAATAGGACGAAACGGCCGTCTACTGCTTCCAGGTTTTTGATGGTGGTCTAGCTTCAATTGACTCATGATTTCAACCATGAATATACTAAATTCTCCACAAAACCCGTATTTGTAAAATATAAAAACAATACATTAAATACACTATTTGCCCATCTTTCTTAAGTTGTCTCTTACAAACTCCATAGTTCCTTTATTTCTATCTACATTTTGACTGCTTTTCATTTTGCCTTTTTTCTTCTCACTTTCTTCTTTTATCTGTGAGCATTCTACTTTCAATCCCTCTACATACTACTTATATCTGTTCCCACAAGTAATTCACACAACGCTACTTGTGGATTAATATTTGTATGCACAATAATTTCTGTCGACTTAGATTATTAATCTGTTCACCAAATTTCTGGTTACACTTGCTACAAAGATCTAATACGACTAAAATCAACATTTCATACGCCTACATTTGATGAAAACATAATCTAGTTAGAGTTAGGTTTTCAAAGTTGATCGATAAAATCTTCAAAATTTATAAACATCATAACTTAAAGTAAGTTACCCAAACTATTAAATTACAATTAACTAGACAATGCTTAGCAAAAACACAGTAGTCACAAAAATGTCACATGGAAATATCATACTGACTAGTTATTTAAATGAAGGTTGACTGAAGAACAATAAAAAACTAATGAAAGCCACCCAGATACTTCATCCTAGTTTTAGAACTCTTAAGTAGTTCCAGTAAAAAACGGTGACCTGAGGAATCGAGTATGTTGAGAGAAGTGCAGTTATGTATTTTTAGTATTACATAATGATAGCGCTAAATTCAGGACTGCAGTTGTAAGAAAGGACCATCATACTTCAACCCAGTGATTTAATTGTATCATGTTAACAACAAGAACTGAATATCCTGTATAAGATCATGCGGGTGAACTTGTAAATAGTCCTAAAATTAAAACAATAGGAACAGGCTGCTTTCAAGTATACAATAAGTTGCTTTATTACGTAACCCAATCAATAGTAAAACTCCGCAGCAGTGCACATCCACGATCCTGCCTCACGAGATTCGAACCCAGGACTGACTTCAAGATACATATCCTGGCGTTCTAGTGAGAAGCAGTGACCAGTGGAGTTCAAACCACGTCTGTTGTGAGATAACAACTCACTGAAGGTAATTGGTGAACGATCGCTCAAACTTCGCGGATTGGTTGAAGTTAGATATTAACACCGTTGGATGCCGGCCGTCTTAGTGTTCTATCGATTAAGTGCTCTGGCGCGAGACTGGTAGGTCCTGGGTTGGAATCTCGCAAGGCGAGGTCGTGGATGCGCATTGCTGATGAGTCCTATAATAGGACGAAACAGTCGTCTAAATTCTTTGTTAGGCCAAACCAAAATAATAATAATTATTATTATGACAAAATATTGATACCTATTTGCTGTTATCTTAGACACACTACTAGAGAAAGTGAAATGCTTTTTTCCAATACAGCATTTACTTGCTTACTGACAATTATTACATTGTCACAATCAGATCAAAACACTATAGATTAACTAACAATTAGATACAATAAAATTATTTTCATAGTCTTGATTCACTTAGAAAGAATCCCTTAATGAAGAAAGGCATTATACTACTTATATAAAATGACTTTTATTCAAATAGATTGTAAGTTAGTAACAATATTACAACGTCTGGGTCATTTTTCTGTCTATGACATAGATAGATGTCTGATGGATAAGTGTACTAGTCAAATTTATGATTGTTTGCATGTGTAGATAGTAAATGTTAATATTACCCTGATAGATATATAAGTAGTTGAAGTTGATCAACTATATATTTATTTAAAATTAACTGCTTTGTTCGTTGTATTTACTTAATATTTAGTTAAAAGTCTCTGTACCTTACAAAGATATTGATAAACTTGAACCTGGTTTAGGTAAATAACCACTCACTAAACTCAAAGTGTTTAAAAGGGAGAAATATTGATTCCACTACAGTTGATTACTTTAAACGCTTGGCTCAGTTGGAATTACATAGAGGTTTAGTAAGTTATTGAATAGAGATAAACTTCCATAAGGCGTATCAAAAAGCTATCAAATGTACAGACAACCAGTTCATTCGGGGATAAAGGTGCTCATTCATATCATTGTTTGTTCTGGAATGATAAGTCGATTCTCAATTCGTGATCCAATAACTCAGATATAATGTAATAAAAAAAAAGAAATTAAGGATAGGAATTCTATTGTTTTGAAAAATTAACACTAGAGTGATATATCTTCCAAGTTCCGTTTATAAATAAAAGAATAACTTAATTGGTCAATTTACAAGTTTACATACTCGACATTAGGTATGAGTTGGTAATAATAGCCGATCGACTAAACCAACATTGTTTTGTCATTCTTAACTTCTCTATGAATTTCCAGAATGGGAATTTGTGAAGATTGTAGTTACGTAAATAGTTAATTCATGAAGGTTTGCGCAAGATCACGGGCCGATTGAAGTTAGACATTAACACTGTTAGATGCCAGCTCAGTGGTCTAGAGGTCGGACGTTTGTGCGCGAGAAAGAAGGTCCTGTACTCATGTCCCGTGTCCGGAAAAGTGAGTGCACGGTTGAGGAGTCCCACACTAGGACGAAACGGTCGTCCAATGCTTCTAGGTTTCCAATAGTGGTCTAACTTAGATCGACTCATGAATCCAACGAATTATCAGTTTGAAAAATCATTCTTAAAATTTATCATTTAAAAACACTTAGTGTTTATCTTCATGATTTTTGACAATTCTGTTTTCCAAATCATAGAATGAAGTAATTGTGATAATAAGTTGAATTATATGAATTTATCTTCTTGTATCAATCCCTATCAGGTAATGATTTTAGTTGTAACAAATGAAATATGATTTTCGTCATACAAATCAACTCTTAATAAAGTTTGATTTCTGTCATCTTTATGAACGCTATCGATCAAGTGTGAAAGAACCGAGCTCCGTATTGACTTGACAATACCTTTTCCTAACCACGAAGGGAGGTGTTCACTAACTCTTTGGTTCAACTGTCTGATAGTGCGCCCAATATAGCTCTATGGTCTACTCAAAGTTCACAAGACAGATCTTCCTCTTCGTCCAGTTTTAGATATGTATAATTTACTTTACTATAAAACTGCAAAGTGGCTAGTTCGAATCCTAGAATTCTTAATAAAGTATCATTTGTAACTTGATCAAGTTATCATGGAAAATCAATTAAAATAGCTTTTAAATGATTTCAGTTATCTTTTGACTGTTCATACTGTTATTTGTGATATTGTTATGTTAGAGATGAATACTTGGATAAATAAAGTATGTTAATTATTGAAGCCGTAATTTTTTATAGTTAACAGACTTTTGACATGACATCTATCTATTTAAGTAATGATTTACTGTGAAGCAATATGTTTACTGACCTGGAAACAAAATTTAAGCTTTCCTAAAACATTTTTTTTACAGAGATATTGACTTTTATCTTATTGTATTCAGTATTATTTGGTAGATTGGTTTAGAATCTTGCTAAATATAAAGCTGATGGTTGGAGAATTCGTATGACAAGCTTTGGTATACCTGTCCCATAGTCAATTGACTTGTTAGAATCTGTATGAATAAGTTGTTTCATCAATTAATTAACCGGAATCGCCCATCAGAATAATTTGATTGAGATGGCCATGAGTGAACTTTCTAACAATTGATCTATCCAACTACACTTCAATATAATTGCAACTACATCCTCATTAATAATTATTTGAATTATCTTATTGTTGATATTCAGGAATGATTCTTAACCAGTTTTTGTCGGCATATATCCTATGATATAGTCCTTTTATCACAAAATTTATTGAATAGATAGATTATGGATGGCGGTAGGTCCTATAACTTGCATTTCGTCCTACTTAGTATTCCTAAACTTGAGATACATGCATCTCACTATCTTTAGCATCAAATCCCTAGTTTACTGCTTACTAAGTTCAAGTCCCGATGTAAACATCAACACTAGGACGCAAGTACAATCAGATGACCAGTCACAAATAAAACAAAACACGCATTATGGATTACTATTCTAACCATAGTTTATTTATTCTATAACCATAATGATCTCATTTCCCCAATAAAACACAACAATTAAGAATGGTTTATTGTCCTTTTATGTAATGACTCAACAATGTATGTTCCTTTATTAATAATCATGTTTGTTTATTTATTGTTGAAAATCAAGTAGCACTGAAAAATCTTATCAAAAATACTCTTGAATAAATAATGAATAGTATGTTCAGTAGAAACTACCTTTAAAGTGAATCTATGAACATTCTAGCAGGAAATGGTTACCGATGAAAATAGACAAAATTAGAAGTAAACTAGTAAATCATCTATGAATTTCACGCTATTATCAGAAAACAACTATTTAACAATATGATACAACGTATTCCAACTGAATTTTATTGAATAATGTTACATCCACCTTCAAGATGAAAACAACCCAGATTTCAATCGTGTATAGAGTTGCGTGTATACTTGTAAAGTTCTTTACTAAAAAGTCAGAGTCAATCAATACCATTTGTATCTCAAATATTCTTTAATTGATTTGTTAGTAATAGAGATAACTTTTAAAATCTACAGAATTTTCAGAAGGGGCTTTCGTGGAGATTTTAGTAATTTTATATGGTTGAGATCATGTGTAAGTTGAAGCTAGACCACCAGGTAAAACCTGAAATCACTAAACGGCCGTTTCGTCCTATTGTGGGACTCCTCAGTAGTGCGCACCCATGATCCCGGCTTGCAAGATTCGAACCCAGGACCTACCAGTCTCGCGCCAGAGCACTTAACCGACAGACCGCTGAGCCGGCATCCAACGGTGTTAATGTCTAACCTCAACCAATCCACAAAATTGCACGACCATTGTTCTATTGTACTGAGGTAGATATCTGTCTCTACCTGACATGGATTAGCTTCACTGGTCACGACTTCTCACTAAAACTCCAGGAATTATCTCGCTATTTCGTGGATTGGTTAAGGTTATACATTAACACCGTTGGATGCCGGCAGGCTCAGTGGTTTATCGTTTAAGTGCTTTGGCGCGAGACTGATAGGTCCTGTGTTTGAATCTCGCCCGCGGGGCGGGATCGTGGATGTGCACTACTGAGGAGTTCCACAATAGGACGAAACTACCGTCCAGTGCTTCCAGGTTTTCCATGGTGGTCCAGTTTCAACTGACACACGATCTCATCTACAGGATTCGTTCAATGAAAATTGTATTAGTCAATCAAGATTTACCGTTACAGTTTCACACTGTAGTTTATTTTTAAAGCATATATATAACTTACTTAATAATAATAAACCAATTCGAATCAGACTGTAAATTGAACGAGTAAATTTCAATGAATAACATATTCTGGCTACTGATTGAATATCATGAAATGCACTGATCATTTCAACATATTTCTTCTTTGATTTTATCGATTTACTTATTAGAAATTTTTTATCAATTATTAATTTCTCTTCATTAAATTTACTCTCATCATTCCCTGATGACAATGATGAAGATGACGGCGATGATGATGACGATGAAGACAATGCTGTCATCAGTGAATTCAATTGTTTATGTTCAATTAAATAAATAATCAATAAACGATACCATGATATGTTTAAAAGTTTTAATCTTGTATCCATTGTCTGATTTAATAGTTGTGCATTGAATGAATTGAACAAATTTGTCATTGTTATGTCATTTCTAATGTTGTTATGTAATAGAGGTATCATTGCTAATTTGGGTTGTCCAATTAAATTGATCATTTGTATAAACCATTGTTTTAATTTATTATAAAAGATTAAATTCTGATCGGAAATCTTGATAGATGGAGTAATAAAGGAATGTTGTGCTTTGATCACATTCTCATCATCATCATCAGTTGTTTGTGTAACAGCATTATTGATTTTATTATTGTTGATTATACTGGAATGTTGTAAGATTGTACGATTAAGTGAAGAGTTTGTTTTCCTTTTTAAAAGTTTCTTTTGATGATTATGTCGGGTATTTTTAGGAAAGAATTGTAATTTTAAAATGGATTTTTTAGATTGTACACTTTCACCGGTTTTTAATTTTGTTAATGAATTAAGTTTAACATTGAGCTTAGATTGAATTGATGATGGTGAATGTTGCATATGTACAGGTTTTAAAATATTGTTATTGTTTTCGTCTGATAATCTTGATGATGATTGATTGGACATTGATAAATATTGTTGATGGTTTTCATTACTATGTGCACTAGAAGTTATTCTATTGGAATTCGATAATGTCCATAGATTATAGGCTAATTCATTTGTTGTTTTAAGGCTATTATATGAATTTGAGAAATCATTATTTCGGTTGATTGTATTACCAAAAGATGGAAATACAGAAGATGCATATAAGGCGAATGCAGCGGATAAAGCTATTTGATAACATGCTGGAGATAGAATTAAGTTAAGTAGGTTGGCTCCTAGTAAGACTGATTCATCGTTCGACGTACTATTCGAATTATTTATATTTGGTTTTTGTTCAATATCTTTACAAAGATATTTTTCTGATGGCTTACGTTCAGGTCTTAAATTATTATTACTGATAGTATTAATGGTTGTACTACCAGTAGCATTGGTACTAGAAGTAATACAATTCCTAAATTTGTTTACAGTATGAGACAAAGGGAATGTAATTGAATTATGTCTTAAACTATTGCATCGTAGAATACTTGAATTATCAGATAATCGTGGAGTGTAATCTAAATCACCGGCAAAACTCCTCCTTCTTTTTGAAATTATGATATCTGAGCTAGGAATATTACATCTGAAATTATCGAGTAAACCTGATTGATTGGAATGAGATGAAGCTGAGGATAAATCAAGTGGTTGGTCAGAACATTCTTGGCTGTTCATAGGTGTAGAAGTTGTAGCGGTGGTGATATTAGCACTGTGCACAGTGGAAAAATGATTAATCGGTGACTGGGAATGTAAAACATGGTTGTTTTTTAAGTATTCAAGTTTATCAAATAACTTCGTTGGAGAAAATTGAGAACGTGCTAATAAATTAATATGTGAAGGGCTCAACGTAGATGAAGATGACGAAGATGAAGGTGAGGATGATAAAGATGATGATGATAATGGCGAAGACGATGACAACTTCTCGCCTAAAAGATTGTCCTGGAAAAGCTTTCTACCATTACTGATGGAAGTTTCTAGGGTTTGTAAACTATTACAATGCTTCGTTGGTTTAAGTGATTTACGTCTCCCTTGAACAGATGATGAATTATTGATTTTGCGTCGACTCAGAAAGTTGTCTTTTTTAAGATTAGTTATGGATTTCGCATTATCACATGTCACAAACACTAACTGACTCCTCATATAAACGGAATCGAAGTTTTCTGTACCCGATAGTAAATCATATAATAAACTAGTTGTTGTAGAATAATCTTTTGTTGACCGCTTATTAGTATCCTTTGTACTAATATCTTTCTTAGTTTGATGAAAATTACATGGTTTACAAAATTCATCCTTTTCATGATATCGTGAGGATTTATTGCCACGACTAATTTCATCATCATTATCGATAGTGGTAGTTATTGATGCTGTCTTTGTTGCATTAGTAGTAGTTGTTGTTGCTGTATTAGTACTTTTCATATCGTATTCCATCATTAATTCTTCTTCAATTAGTTTATGTACACGTTTAATACTATGCAAATATTTATTAGTATTATCAACATTTTGAATGGTAATTTCTCCTTTTTTAACTGATTCAAAATGTGGATTGGGAAGTGAATTGTCAGTTAAATGAATTAGACTTTGTTCACTTTCCGACACTGAAGACATAGCATCTGCTGCCAATCTGATTTAAACAGAAAATAAAAGATTCTTGTTGAAAATATTGTCATGTCGATTTATATCTAATTAAATATTTATTTTAGTCTCTGTAAGAAATGTTTTAATTTTCAGCTTAGTAATTAAACCCTAAAAAGTATCAGCCCCTTGAAGACTAAAGGTACAAATGCTAACGAAAACCGATTAACAAGAAACATAAGTCTTGGATTCCCTACTGACTATCTCCAGTAATCTACCAAGTGTTTAAATCCTTGTGTTAATCAATCTCTCATTTAATTAACCAATATTGGTCCACTGTTATACCGGACACTAGTTTCTGAATTTTTTTGGAATTTCATTGATTACACAAAATAACACTTAAATTGTAAAATAAAGTCAAAACTAATTGTCACTTTACCTCTTGGATGAATTAATGGATTTCAACTTTTGTTCCAGTGTTCAGTCAAATTAATATCAATTACTTAAGCCTCAGATAACTAATGTACGTAATTCTGTGGGATTTTAAGAAGTTTAGGTGGTATGATCAAACACTGATAGACAATTTTGCATCGTTACAATAAAAAAGCGATATCATTGTTTATATTTTCATATGGAGTGGTGGGTTGATGGTTGAAGAAGCACTTGACCTTGGATCACGAATTGTCAGACTCGAACATTTATTCTCTTATTTGATTTTGGCAACATAGCAGTATCACAAACTTTCATGATGATGTCAAACCAAGTATTGGATCTATTTTGGGTTGTCGATTTGAATTCGTGATTTTAAAACCCTTGAAATCTTATTAGTTCAACAAAAAAATTGATAATGAACAAGTGCCCACTAGTAACCAGCTTCAAGATTTGATTCCCAGAGTTCTAGTGAAAAGCCATTACTAGTAGAGTTCAACCATATTGGATGCAAAACAGTTTTTCACCCCAAGCAATGGAAGATGGTTGAGTAATAACGTAAATTGATTGAAGTCAGACATTAATACAGCTGAATACTTGTTCCTTGGTACTAGAGGTTAAGCGTTCACGTGTCAGATCGAGTTTCCTGGATTCGATTCCCAGATAAGGGGTCTTGAATATATACTTCAAAAAGTCCTACACTAGGACGAAACAAATGGTTTTCAATGGTGATTTAGCTAAGATCAGTTAATGATTTACAAATTATATAGTTTCTATAATCTCCACAAAATTCTATACTGAATATAAAAATTAAATTTCATCTTTAACAACCTTATGAAAGTCACAGGATAAAAAGATAAAGAAACAGTAAACGTTATGACTCATTACACCTTATTGAAAAGGTTGGAAATAATTGTCTGGATTACAGATTTTCGAAATGTAATTATCACAGGGATCAAAAAATTTATCTGTTCTATTGATTACAAAACTCAGTCAATATTAGTACATCGCATTGTTTTGTAATTGTAATTCGGAATTTGTGTATGAAAATACAATCTTTTCTAAAATATTTACCAGACAGATGATAATGAATACGTTGTACAATGTGTCCGAGTATCGGGTCAGTTTTAAGTACCAGATGTTTGAAAAGTCTCAATTTATCTCTGGGTTATGTAATTATTAATTTTTTAACATAAATAGTCAACAGTTGATCGAATGTAAAAGGTATTTATCAAATGTGAAATACAAGTAACCTTTGCTATACAAAAAAAAAGAAATTGAAATCAAACCGTACTAACAGATAGCAGATTTTGTTACGAAAATGAATTCTTTCTGCAAAGGTTCATTTGATTCAAAATAATAAGTAGATATATCAACAAACTAATATTCAGCGGGATGTGATTTGAAGCGAACGGTACTGGATTCGAGTCCCAGAGTGAACATCAACTTTGAGATTCAGGTATATCCAGGTGACGAGTCGCAAATAGGACAAAACGCGCGTCAAACTGGATTCCACTGCTAACTACTATCCATCTTCGCTTACAATATTCAGTATGTTGCAAAATCGTTCATGATTCTTATCAAATTTTATCTAGATAAGTGATAAACCTATTACTAGTTTGATTCTATAGGTAGTGTTTGTTAAATAATGACCTCACTTTATGCACCGATTAAAATCAAAGAGTGTTGGATAGCTATTTCATTCTAGTATGATGCAATGAGAAGACGAAGTTTATCAGATAAACTTCGTCTTCTCATTGCATTATCGAAATTTATCAAAGGGACTAATTGTTTTAAATTCTAGTATGAGGTAATTAATAGTACACATGCACACACACGCAAAACCTCATCAGAATAATTGGATCGGGAACCTCCAGGTTTCTCGACAAACCCTTGACCATTAAAACCACTGGATCGGCATCCAATTATAAAATTTTAACTTTGCTTAAATAATTGTATAAAGCTATCATCAATCCGCGGTGAATGCAACTGACAAGCTAAACTATTCTCCATGAAACTCCTCCAAATATAGTGCCGGATTTATTGTTTATTCAACAAATCGGAAAAACAGCACCAATGGAGCTCTTAGAGAGAAGACAAAAGTCAAACTAGATAATACATTATTCTTTTATCATATTACAAATTAATTACAAACAAGATTCTCCGACACAATACAGCATGCACCAGTCGAATTACACTTGACGAATAAGCTTTAGAGGACGTGGAAACCTTCACATATCTAGGCAGCATGATTGATTAACACGGTGGGTCTGATGCAGATGTGAAGACACGGATCAGCAAAGCAAGAGCAGCATATGTACAGCTGAAGAACATCTTGAACTCAAAACAATTGTCAGCCAACACCGAAGTCAGAATTTTCAATGCAAATGTTAAGACAGCTCTACTGTATGGGGTGGAAACCTGTAGAACTATAAAAGCAATCATGCAGGGAACACAAGTGTTCATTAAGATTTGTGTTCGCGAAATACTTCGAATCTGTTGGCCAGACACTATCAGCAACAACCTACTATGGGAGAGAACAAACCAGATTTCAGTGGAGGGAGAAATTAGGAAGGAGCACTGGAGGTGGATAAGGCACACATTGAGGAAAGCATCCAACTGTGTCACAAGGCAGAGTGGGTTTGGAGAATGCTGGTCGGCGGCCTATGCTTCAATGGGAGTAACAGACGTAACTAAGTAGGTAGGTAAGTAAGTAAGATTATTTTTTAAGTGAAATAAAGCATATTTTAGGTTGTATTTATCACAGACTGATCTCAATTAGGGTACTGTTCAAATCTATGGAGCATTGGACATACATGTTGATAGTGAAACTGTTATCATACATGACACTGGATGGTCAAAAACTGAATAAAGTCTAAATTTTACCAATAGTTCTCATATTTAAATGTTCACTGTGAAACCTATATGTCCTAGGTTCGATCTTTAACTTGATCCTCTGATAGGGCAAAACAGTTATTCAATACTCACTAGTTTCCAAATGAGATCAATTCGTAACGAATATAATGTACAATTTAAACCAATTTCGATTGCCATTCCCCTCTCAACGAAACGAAATTTTGAAACAAATTTTTTTTTGCATGATTAGTAACTACAAGTAGGAAATTGCTTATATGCATTATTAGTTATACAATATCTTGAATGAATTCATCTAGAAATTCCATTTCAATATATCTACACGCACACACACACACACATTCACAAAAATAAACATGAAGAAGAGTTAGATGGACTGATAATGAATAAAAATGATGAATATTTGTATTGATGAAAAAATAATACTAGACATTAACAATGATAAAAATAGAATAATGAAAACATTTTATTCATTGACTAAATGATGCTACTTTTGAACTTAAGTCAGTCAGTCACAACGTAGAATTTCGTACGTACATACATTAGTTTGATTTTACCATACCAAATTAGCACAGAGATACAGTTGTCGATTCGAATCCCATAGTGGTAGAAGTAGTAAGAGTATAAGCAGTAATGTGAAAGATTAGGGTTTGAAGATGTTATTCAAGGAGTATAATACAGTGAAATAAATTTGTAAAGAGAAAAAAGAAGAGAATTCAGGAGATTAGAGTTTGGGAGAACACAAAGAGTGGATGTACCTTCGCCATTGCAAACGATTTTGAGCCATGTCATTCAAGGTCTCTAACCATCGATTGCTATCATCTCGCGAATCCCAACCGGGTAGTCTACACCTACCAACATGGCTCAGTCCACTTGTCAGTGACTTCATGGATTTGTGCCACGTTAGCGCACTTTATAAAAGGAATAAAAAAATAGTAGATATAATCTGATGACTAAATTTTCAGTTGAAAGTATTCATCAGTAATGGGTTGTGGAGATTGTTGAGCTTTTGATTGAGATCTTAAATCGATCAATGTTAGACTACCATTGAAAACCTGGAAGCATCGTACTACCGTTTCGTTCTAGTATGGGACTCTTCAGAAATGCGCATAAACTTTGTTACCCTTATTCTGTATATGTTATATCCCGAAGAGAATTATGAATGGTAACTTTTGAGGACTATTTATGGACCAATACGATACGTATATTTTCTATTATATAATTGTTAGGTAACTTAATTATTCATATTCAAGTTCCTTTTATTATGAGCTTTATTTTGACACATAGACTATTATTGCTGTACGATAAACCATTTCCTGAGTTATACCCAGTCTATTAATTACTGTTATTGGTGTTCTGGACTTAACTAGCTCGGCCAGGCAGAAAGCAGGACCGACAATTACTCTAGACTGCACGTACGGGTTTCGTGTATCATTGGTCCGATCGATAAATCACTGTTCTTTAATTGGCGGCATCGTCACGTCATATATTAAACATGGCACTCAGGTCGCAAGATAATAGTATAAATAACAACAAATATGTTAACAATCAAGACTAATTATACTCAATTACGAATACTTTAATGGTATGTTAGAGAGAAAAATTCTTAGTTTAGATTTTGTACTAGTTAAAATTTACCGATGACCATCAATGGACTGATAGTTCTTTCTCAGAAATTCCAATCTATTTAATTATCAGTCAAAGACAAATGGCCTTCAACAAGCTTCTAGTCTGATAACGTCAAAC